TAAACTACTCTTCATCTATGTAGAGTGATTTCCAAATTAAAGAGCAAATGAGGCTCTTGTCTCTAATGACACATATATTGAAGTTAAGGGTGATCCCCCCATGAAGAAGTGAGTGTTCTTGATGATAAATGAGATCATTAAATTTAATTTAGGTATGAACGATTATCCTTATCCTATCTGTATGAGCAAGTTTTTTATCAAAATTTATTGCTAATAAATCATAGAAGTGTTTAAGGAACTTTTGTGACAATCTTGTGTGGAGTTATGTTTTCCCTCAAGGTAGTAGTGCATAAACTAGGCATAGTTCATATCATTATTCTTGTCAAGCAAACTCCTTGGAGAATGTGACCTAATGTAGAACAAATGGTTATTGAAGAAACTAAAAGATCATTGATGTAATATTTATAAGAAAATTATCAATAATAGGCATATGTTATTTGCATAAATTTTTTGGGATCTATATAAAGCATGTCCAAAGGATAATTTCTATTAGTCAATCTCTAAGCTCATTATTGATGTTGCCTCTTCCACTACAATGCTTTTTTATATCGATGACTTGTCTGAGTATACCAATAATGAATGTCCCAAAAAAATAGCATACAATATTTTATAGTCATATAGATTTTTTTTCAAAACTAATTTATGCTATTTATCTTAAAAATGGCAAGGTTTTTTATCAACGAGCCATGAGACATATTTTTGATAATTTACTATACCTATATGCAGAATGTTCCAAAGATGACATGATCATTAAGAATTGGGTAGATGAGGACTATATTTTAGATTTGAGAGTTTTTTTTAAGGGCCTTAGATAATGTGGTCTAAAGCTGAATCCCTTGAAATACAAATTTAACTTAACTTTAGGAAAATTTTGGCTTTATTGTTCAAAATATAGGCATAAAAATTGATCCAAGAAAGATTAAAGCTAATATGAATATGGAACCACTTAAGAGTCATTGGCAACCACATGCCCTTCAAGAAAGGCTTGCATTCCTTAAGATTCATTTCTAACATGATAGGTTAATGTCAGCCTTTAACCAATTTGGCTAAGAAAGAAGCTCATTTTTGTTAGGACAAGGCATGTAAAGGTGCTTTTGTTGATATTAAACACTATCTTTTGGGTCCACCAATAATAACATCTTCGCTTCTAGCTCTCATTTTATAAAACTATATCATTGGGTGAGTTATTAGAAGCTTTATTGGCTCAGACTAAGATGATGGTAGGAAAAATGATTTATATTATTTTTGTTTGTGTTTTATTCTAGAAGAAATAAATTATATTTCAATTAAAAAATAATACATGGCATTAAAGAACATAACACTATTAAGTCTCGACCTAAGCTCATAAACTAGTCAATAAAGCTACCTAACATGAATTGATTAGATAATCAAGGTGACATAGCCAAGTAGGATGCTATGAAATAAAGTTCAACTAAGTAATTGACTTTGTCCTAGTTGAACATGATCAAATATGCCTTGAAAATATAATCAGAGTTACTTGGTCAATAAAATATGATCAAGAGAAGCTAGTTAGGAAATGGACTTGGCCTAGCAAACTAAAGTGTTGCCTAACATGAACCAACTATGTAATCAAGGTGACCTAATCAAGTGGTATGTTGTAAAATATAGATCAAATTGGTAATAAAGGTTGCCTAGTTGACCTGAACATGATTTGATTCCCCTTAACCAGGTAATTAGGTTTTCCAAATCAATTGAGCATGAATAACGAGAGCTTGGCTAGGTAATCAGGTGGCCTGACCAAGTGAAAGGCTACAAAATATGAATTAATTAGATAATCAAGGTAGCTTAGTTGAATAGAATACCATAAAATATTTAGTCAACTTGGTAATCAAGGTGACTTAAGTGACTTGAATATGATATGATATCTCTTGACCTAATAATCAAGATAGTATGGTGAATAAAACATGATTGACAATAGGTTCAATCAAATTGGCCTAACCAGACAAGTGCTACCTAATAAAAATCAACAAGGTAAACAAAATGGCTTAGCTAAGCAAAAAAAATATAAAATAAAGATTAGCTAGGTAATCAAGGTGGCCTTGTTGACCTGAACATTATTTAATGCCCCTTAACTAAGTAATCGAGTTAGCCTAGTCAATATAATGTGATAAACAGAAGCTTGGCTAGGTAATTGAGTTAGCCTAGCTAAGAAAAGTGACACTTGATATAAACTGACTAAGTAATTGAGATGACATATTCAAAAAGAATATTAGAAAGTATAGATCACTTTGTAATCAAGGTAGCTTTGTTGATCTAATCACAATATGATTTCCTTGACTAACCAATCCAGATGTCTGATCAACCTAACATGATTAGAAGGAGCTTAGCAAGGTAATCAAGGCGGCCTAACTAAGCAAAGTAGAGTGAGTCTAATTTCAACTAAATAGTCATTCATAAGATTTATATAGTCAAGAAAAATTTGGAAATGAACTATCAAATTAATTTCTAGGTGACATCGACTTGAGATTTTTAGTGGAATTTTGGTCAGTCTCCTTTGATAAATCATTGGCCAACTTTGAACTAATCCACATTAGGGATACTATTGACAATCAATGAATCATTTTTCTTTAAGGATATCATGGTTAACTTATTTAGCTTCCTTCAAAAGTCCTTTCAAAGAGAGGAAATTATGATAAAATTGATCAACATTATCTAGATTTAATTCAATCAAAATTATATCAATATGTTTATTAGGTTTCATTATTCCAAACCAAACACTAATGCTTAATTAATTAAAAAGATAATGTGGTGAACATCATCACAAATATGTAGCCTGATTAAGTATTCTAACGTGCACTAAATTTTATGATATATGTTGGGGAGATTAATCACCTTCTAAGCAATAATTCCACATCCATATTGCATGCATAACATTTCAATGTATCTTTTAAAATAAAGACACAATATATATGAATTTTGTTAATTCAAATCTATCATTAAGGTCCAAATGGTCATGTCATTTGCATCATAAATGAAAATAGAGCACCCAAAAATACTTTCAAGTAAAGGAACATTTCTTATCAATGAATTTTGTAATTTTATGTTAGTTTGTGTCCAACAATACATTATCTATAGTTGTCTTTCATGCTATGTTTAATTGGTGTGAGAGATGCAAACTAGGATAAGACACATGTGATCTTTTATAGAGATTCATATCCACAAGGGGAAAGCCAAAAAAATAAAAATATAGTACTATTTTTTGCATGTGCTAGCTATTTGAATCCCTCACCATATATGATTTGTTTTGCATTCGTCTGTTATATATAATTTCTTACTAACATTTTTTGTTGGTGATTGAGTCTATAATCTTGTGGCTTTTATATGTATTTCTAGATTCTAGGATTGAGTCAATACTAAAACAAAGATATGTGCGTGGGTTCCCTGGACTTAAGGGCATGAACTATACTTGGATTAAGACCAGGAGTCGATTTATCAAGCCTTATATTTTAATTTTAGAATATTCAATCTTGTATAGACTTATAATCATCTCAAATATGTGAAACCTAACACTTTCTTACATTTCTAGGATATGGTATCAACACATTAGCGCCCAACATCTTTATTATTCTTTCATGTTAGTGTGTAATTTATATATGCATGTGTGCTATATTGTTTGTTTTCTTATAGAATGTGGTTTGTTTGGGCTCACACACATGAGCAAGCTTTTAGGTCGACAAAAATATTTTTACTTGAAATCTAATATTTTGTCCAATCACCTCAATAAAATTTAATAATAACATTTTTTTTTTAAGCATGGCCTTTGGTTGGATTTAAAAATTTAAATTAAATTAATATTTAAAGTTTAGAATTTTTATTGTGGCTATGAATCCATAGGTCACCCTTAGGGATTCCTATGCTTGCCATAATAGAGATATCTCTATAACATTGAACTTGAGCAAGATTATATTAATTTCATAGTGTAGTCCTTGCATAATTAATAGTCACTTTATTAATGAGATAGTATTGCATCATTTGCATATCCTTTATAAAGCATACTTTTTCCCCTACCCAATTGGCCACATGATTTAAACTGACTTAGTGGTTGTCTAAAACACTTGACTATTCTGACCAAGATAGGATTGAAAACACATGTTAGGTACTCTTGATTCTAATGGTTACCTACACTTATCCTCTTCTCATACAACCATTGTATCATCCTTATAATGACAATAAGCCACATTCTTGTTCTTCTTAGATAAGAGTCTTAGGATTCTAAGTAGGTTTCTTTCATTGGAATTGAGTTCACAAGGTCTCCCATAATGATGCATGCATCTCATGGGTTACTGACAAAAAAAATTGATCCATAAAGGTTCAACTACCTCTATGTCTAAGTAAGCTCAAGTCTAATAACTCAGGACGATAAATCCATGGAGCCATGACTGAGGCATATTTTTTAGTCATAAAAGTTCTTGATGTCTTATGATATACTTCTTATGCTGGTAAACTTTATTCACACTCTATTATGTGGCCTAATTTGGCTTTAATAAATGAGAAGGGCCCTATTGAAATGATAACCCTCATCCTTCACATACTATTTTATGGACTTTAAAACATCAGCATGATTTCTTTAATTAAATGCATTCTTCTGAATTCTCAAAGATGCAATTAACCTTATGTAATATGTCCCCTTCGTAGTGAGCATATACCAAGGCTTTTGTCTCCTACTTTCATCCCTCCAATGAATATATAAATATAATTCAATCCTGATTGGAATACTAACAAAATGTTAACATATTGATTCATTATAACATTAAACCAATGAAAACCCAACCAATGAAATCTATTAGAAACTCTAATAAACTTGCACTACCATCTCAACGGTAACTGCAATCACCTCCATCTGATTGCACACAGCGCCATTTACCTCCAAATGTTAGTCCTTCCAATTCAAAATCAAGCCTTTCTTTAATGGGATTGTCACGTAAGTTGAAGAAGCCTTGGCACAAGTCTAGCTCAAATATAAAAGAAATTCCTAGTTATTTTCTGCTTAATACCGCAATTATCTTAAAATTGTCAGTTACAGATTGCCAATATATTAATGTAACTGCCCATAACATGTAACTGTAAACTTTAATTCATAAAATGGTCATTAGAAGGAATACCAATTTCTTGAACTCCATAGGAGAGAAATCAAGGTCTCCGATTCCATGTACACATTGCATTGGAGAAGCCCTCAAATGAAGCACGTTAGATAATACTAGAGCACATAGATGACAGTTCATGGGAACAACATGCTCGCCAAAATAACTCTTTTCCAACTGTTTTAGTAAATTATTTTGGCCTAGAAATCATTACATTGTGACCTGAAGCTCAATCATGCAGCTCTTCCAGTATTTCTCCTGACAAGTTGAATAGACCCAAAAATATATTGAATAATAATTAATCTTTACTTTCTTGCAGCCTGATGCTCCGCCGAGGCCGAGTGCTCGCATTTTGGACTGCATGCTTCTTCTGCTGGCATATTTTGTCTATTGATACAGCGAACATTCTGCCAGTTCTCTCTTTTCTCCCAATTGGAGTTTCATTCCTTCATTTTCTGATAAACCTTCTTGCTTCTGCCACTAAGGGAAGTCCTTCAACTGCTCTAGAACTATTTTTCAACATGGCTGGTCTCCCTCCAAGCTCTGTTTGTTGCATATCTGGTTTCTGACAGATGCAGGAATAAGGATATTCATGGAAGTCACCTCTTCCGGGTTTCATCTCCTCAGGTTCACCCATGAAACTCCTTTGGTACAGCTTGACCTTTTTAGCAAATGTCGCCCACTCCATCTTATGTTGTGCCTTAAACAGTGGGCTCAACTTCTTTGCATTTGGCCGTATGGTCCTCTTGTGCCCGGCAAACCTCCTGCAAAAACTAAACCACCACTAGTCAGAAGATCTTGAGGGACATAAGGATATTCATGGAAGTTGCACAGCTAATATAGTTGGAATGTCTGAACAAAAATGGATGATAAGGCAAGATCCAAGCTTAAATATGCCTATTTTTGGGTAAGGCTGAAGGAATGGGAATGCCGTTGATAACAGAAGATGGAAATCTAATAGCTCAAGCCATATGATGAGTTCAAGTGGACCTTGAGCAACAAAATCGTATGCCATTAGAGAAGAATTTACAACGAAGCAGCAGCGGTAAGGAACTATGTATTTTTTTCCTTTTTAAGGAATCATACAACAAGAGGACCCATTTCCATTAGCATTAAGAGAAACATGCAAGTGAGAAATAAAAAGAGTAACAATTGAATGAGGTTCCTGCAAAATATTTAAAAATTGATAAAAAGTAAGAAAAGGTGCATGAAGGTCGCCCGACACAGTGGGGTACAGGGAGGTTGATCTACAAAGCATCTACTTTTGTATAGCAGAAAAGCTGTTAGTATGTGGAGGCAACCTAACCATAGTATTTCAAGCTCCTGACCTCAAGTCAACATCAACAAACACGTGATATTCAATGGTGAGGCGGAGTTCTAGGTTCTACTTTACTAATAAGATGCAAGAAGGCGAGAAGGATAGAAAACAGATGATAAATTTACTACCGAGACAACATAAATCCCACATCAATAGCAGTTAACAACCTGCCCTTGACTAAAGCCCCATTTGGCATGACCTTCTACTAGCTATTTTTGCTGGAACATTGACAATAGTTTTAGGAAAAAATAGTAATCAAACAGTTGTATGATAGTTGAAAATTAACTTCCTCATACAACATTTTAGTAGCATTACTGAAATGCAATTTTGTCAATCGTACTTTCTTGCATAACTAATTAAGTTAATTTAGTAAGAGTAAGTTATTAAATTCTATTTGTAGAAAATGCATAATACTATAAAGTTCATCATTCGATCAATTCACACCACAATAGCTTTTGACCAAACAGCCACAAACAACCCTTTCAGCGCTTCCAACAACAGCCTCAACACAACTTAACAATATTTTATGACCTCCTAGCACGCTGCAGCTTAAGATGACAGTAACAAAAAGAGCCTGAGAATTAGTGTTGGAACAAAATAAATGGTTATGCATTTAATTTAAATCACCAGCGTTGTCATCTGAAGGTTATGAATTTGAGTCAAAAAAACAATCTCTACAAATGAGGTTATGTGCATCAAACCTACTAAAATTTTTCATTGGTGGGAGCTTCAAAGTCCGGATTAACCACTTTTAATTTTGAACCAATGCACAAGCAGCCAGCATGATTAAATTTCAAAGGTAGCATAAACAGCATGCTACTTGCAAGAAATGCAATGCAAACCATCCCTGCACTACTGAAGAAAGACAAAAACACTAGATAAAATGAAGCAGAAGAATCTAGATGAAAGAGAAAATATAAAGTACAAGAAAATAACTTCATTACCTTCGTCCAGCAAGAATCTTGGCCATGTTCCCATTGTTATTGGTAACAAATACGTCACTGTCCTCACAAACAATATAGTCAATAGCAGCAAGACGGGAGGAGAAGGATAGAAAGGGCTTCAAATCCTCTCCAGCGAGTATTTCTTTAGTATAGAAGTTTGGAAAATAATCTCTTAGAGGTTGTAGAGTTCTTTCTCCACCATAGATTTCCCCTGATGCTACATAGAGATATATGTCATTTTCAAAACCAAGTGCTCTTAACATCAAACCAACTTCACATGGAGTCAATGGGCACTTGCCTCTGCTACGTTCATTCTCTGCGTCTAAATCCTGAAAAAATATAATATTGACGCTTCTGTAATGCAAACAAAGGAAATGAAAGCAATATATGAAATCGCTGCATTCCAGATTTCCACAAATCATCAATAAGCAAAAAATCAGAGAGAGAGAGAGAGAGAGAGAGATTGCCCGAAAACACAAAATCCATCCTAGGGCTGTCAAAAAAGTTTGTTATTTGCTAACACCTCGTGCTCGGCTCGAAATCTTGCTCATGTTTGGTTTGTTCATCAAGCTAGCGAGCCGAATACAGACAAACTTTTGTGATTGAAATTACAAAACGAGCCAAACACAAACAAACATGTTCAGTCATGTGCGGCTTGAATTAATATCATTAGTTCATTCTAGGTTAATGTTTTTTCTGAATTAATGAGCCATTTAATCAAATTTTAGAGATTTGATGGAGGGTGGATTTAAAAGCCTACTATGGAGGGTGGATTTCAAAGCCTACTATATGCATATATATATATATATATATATATACACATATATGTATATATATGTATACATATATGTATATATATATGTATACATATGTATCTATATATGTATACATATGTATCTAGATATGTATACATATGTATACATATGTATCTAGATATGTATACATATGTATACATATGTATATATATTAAAACCCAAGGGCTGATAAGTTAAAGAAAAAGATACAGATAGGTTTGTATGGGTGGACCTAAACACTCAACCGACACAGTACAACACACACACAAAAAATGTAAAAGATGGGTACATATAGAATAGGATGAAACTTGTGACATTTAGCAAGGATAGGACCAAATATCTTACAGTGGGTACAATATGGGGGTTTGTGTTCCATGACGATTTGTTGCCAATAACCATATGCGTTGTGCCAAGCCAGACTTCAGTAACATCAAGTAAAATAATATCCCTTTCCACAAGTATTCTGGCCACCGAGGGTCTTGTTAGATTGCAAGTAGACAGATCTAGTTTCAAAAGAACCCCAAGGATGACCCCAATAGAGTAGCTTGAGACAAGGTAAACTAAATCATACTGGTAGAGTGGGAGTTTCATGCTTTGGGTCAAAATTAGGAGACCACTTGAGTAACTTTATTGATTTGCCTTCGATATTAAGATATTTCTTAAGATATTTCTTGGATATTAAGATATTTCTTGGAGAAAATTTTGGTGTAGTCTTCAGCCACAGTTAGTTGGAACAACATATATCTCCTATCCATGAGTCCCACTTTTCACTTGCCTACTAACTTAAGATCATTAACACTCTTAATACCATCCATAGGAGAGTGTCTCCACTGAAATTTGCCAATAAGAGCAAACTTCAATTTTTCTGTCAAGGTAGAAATTTCTGATTCAGAGAAAAAGTTTGATTATTTTCTTCCTTTCCTACTTTCTTTCTAAATAAAAGGACAATCATTTGTACTCTCACGACATTCCTTATAACCTGAGGGGAATACCACTGCGGACTCCTCCTGAGAGTTACCCACCACACTGGTAAAGGAGAATTTGTCCGGCTCAATCAAAGAAAAAATAAACAGCATCAGATGCTCTCGGCATTAAACTGTTGTGAGGTTGCTGAAAGGCAGGCAGAGAAGCTGTCAGGCACAGAAATAGGAGCAGCGCTAAAACAGAAGAATCGGGCGCAGACGACAGCTACAAGCGGCAGAGGCGTGGAAGACGACGACATCAAGCAGAGCAGGTGCGAACGTCGACGTCGAGCAGAGCGATAACGACAGAGGAAGACGACGCGAGCAGTGGAGATATCGCGATGCGAACCGCGACAGGGAGTGCGAACATCGACGTAGATGCAGACGCCGAAGCAAGGGTCAACGATGCGAGATCTTCTTCTTCTAGCGGTAGAATCAATTGCGACCGAAATCGCAATTGGAAGCCCTAGCGGAGCTCTCGACCGCAGCCGACATCGTGATATATATATAAAGGAATGACCAGCGGCTATTATACGAGTCTCTAGCCACCCTTAGTATGCCTAACAATTCGAGTACAACCTCCTTAAGGCCAACTGTGCCAAAAGGGATTCGAACCCCCGACCTGAGGAGTCTTATATCGTGGATGCCCACCAATAGGTCGGGGTACGTGGCACACACACAGATATATATATATATATA